ATTATAAACGGTTCTTCACTCGCAATAAATTACAGTGACCGTCACTTTATTTATTATAATTTGTATTACAATGGAAAAGGATTAATAGCATTACAATTTATGGTTCTATTTTTATATATAAAAAAATATTTAAGATTTTAAAACTTTAAAACTTGTATTAAAGTTGTCGAGGGAGGGGGCACATGTTTGAAAGAAGCATGCAAACAGGTAGATTTCTAAATTTTAATGAATTTTTCTTATTTAGAAAGAAAACAAAACACAAATTTCCCTCCATTTGGCGGTGTGGATTGCAATTGTTGGATTCAACAATAATAAAATTTTAATTTTCTTTCTAAGAAAAAAAACAAAGAAATTAGGACAAAGAAAGCTTTATTTTTGCATTTTAAAATGTTAAAAAAATTAATTTTTATTTGCTTTTAAATTAATATTTTTAAATTATTTTAATATATTAATATCAAAAACAACTTTTTAAAAATAAAATAAATTTATTTTAATATATTTTTAAATAAAAAAATATTTTAAAAATTAACCACACTGAAACTTCTTCGCCCTCCCACTAATTAAATATTGATGAAGAAGAAGAAAAAATCATTGACGCGTCATCAACACGTCGTCTGGTAGCAGGCAAAATAGCTAAAGTCCAATAAACGGGGGCCCTGCCATCAAAGCCTTTCTCCTCCCTCTCCTTCTCCTCCCCTCTCTTTCCTGCCATTATTTATACGAGAGGATAGCCCGTCTCTACTCATGTCATAACTACTAACAGAAATAGATACCTTAGAGGATCTGTCAGTTCCCATATCATCACATATTTTGCATCATCTACCTAATATTTTCTGCCTTCTCTAGCTATCTAGCTAGCTTGTTAGTTAGTTTCTTGTAATAGAAAGAACCAGTTTCTTGAGAAACCCCATTAAAGTTTTCTTGAGAAAATTGTTGTTGCTAAGAAAGAAAAGAAATGGCTACTGCTTTGGTATCTCAAGAAAATGTTGTAGCTTCTTTGGTGTCTCGTACAGGGAGGCATTTGCAGCGTTATGATAAAGGCCGTCGTCAAGTTGTAGGGTGGGTTGGTTTTCCCTTATCCTTCTCTCTACTGATTTTTTTTTTTTCATTAGTTAACTAGCTGCGTTTTCTTGATTTTTCCTTGTGGGGCATGATTGTTTTTCTTATTAGGCCTGCAGATTTGATGGACTAAATAACCATTAGTTGATCGAGGTTTTGTCAAGTTTTGCTTTGTCTTTTAATAAAACAGGTTTCGTCTTAAATGATTTCTTTACATGTTAGAAAAGCAGAACTTGATTCTGGTTTGCGAGGTTGGTCTAGTACAAAATATTTAATGAAGGTGATGAATGGTTGCTTACGGGCACTTGAGGCCACTTGCTACTAGTCCATCATGGGGGGCTTATCCATGATGGGTGGACAGGATTGGCCCACGTGCATGTATAATTGTCCATATCTTTTCCTAAATCTTCTTGTGGAGCATGGAAAATACAGTTTCTGTCCTGTTCTCTGATTGATTGGCCATCTTTGTTGGAACTGAAAGCATGGAAGCAATAATTCAATAGATGATTTGATTCCAAGTAGTCCAGTTTGTGCCCGATTTGATTACTTTTAAGTTTCTTGGTTGCTAAATTTCCTGTGTTCTTGTTTCACATATTGCAGATGCATACCATACAGATACAAGAACGGGAGCTCAAGTACTTCGGAGGTTGAAGATGAGTTAGAAGTACTTGTCATCAGTTCACAGAAAGGAAAGGGGATGTTGTTTCCTAAGGTAACTAATTTCAAATGAAATTAGCACTTGATAACTCAATGTAGAGCGTAGAGTATAGACCGTTGCTCTGTCACATAACCTAACTAGTATGCTTCATTGATTAACAGGGAGGCTGGGAATTGGATGAAACCATAAAACAAGCCGCTTCTCGAGAGACATACGAGGAAGCCGGGGTGAAAGGCAATGTTGAGGTAGTTGCCTTATCTTCTTTAATGGTGTGATTGCAGTTCAATTTAAGTTCATTTTCCCCAAATTTAATCACGCAGTTTATTGATGTTTGACCTTTTTTTGCAGCACCAATTAGGTCACTGGACCTTCCAGAGCAGAACTCATGGCACTGATTATGATGGATACTTGTTCCCTTTACATGTTAAGGAGGTATTAGATTTCTGGCCAGAGAAAAACAATCGCCAGAGAAAATGGGTATGCACATGCTACCTTTCTAACATTTTTATCTATATTTTTGGAACTGTCGGTGCAATTGCTGATATTAAGTTACCTTTATGCTATGTATAGATGAGTGTGGAAGAAGCAAGAGAAAGCTGTCAGCATGGGTGGATGAAGGAAGCCTTGGATGTATTAGTTGACCGTCTCGCAGGTCGGCAACAACTTGGTGAAGATGAAATGGGATCTTGTCCTTTAAGCTACCAGGCCAAATCCAACTTGTAAATAGAGAAATTGTGGAGAAATACAGGGAGGGCCATAATTAACAGGAATTGAACTAGCAAGAAAAGAAGTGACAAGAAGCAAGAATTAGGCGATTTTGTGTTTCTTTTGTTGTCCCTTTCTTGAATTTTCAATTCTGATCACTTTCCTGTTAGGAAAATGTTAGTGGGAAGATCAGAAAGTTTTACGAGGAAGACGCAAGATGGTTTCTAATTGGAGAGGAATTATTAAAAAATTATGTTTTGGGATGGAAGAAAAATTGTCATTTGTCTTTATTTCCATAGTCGGCTAACTGTCTTGGACTTCATCAGGATTGCAGACAATGACAGCTTTTTTCACTTCTGGAAACTTTGATTATTTGCAATTAATTTAAGGGCTTTGAAAGTTGTAATCTGTAGTTGTCAAAGAAGAAAATAGGGAAAGTTTCTTATTTTGTTCTTCTTTTGTTTCTAATTTAACCGGCGAAATGGGGCAGACTTTCCCCCTCCGGCAAGCTCTAGTTTACACACAAGCGATGTCGGCTCTAGGTTTTGACTTTAATTTTCGTTAATTATTATCCTTCTTGAATCTTGAAATGACTGTGAAGCTTTGGGTTTCGTAGCTTGAAAATTAACAAAATAAAGATGCGGCGGTGGTTATTTTTAAAATATTTTTTATTAAAAAAATATTTTTAATTTTTTAAAAAATAATTTTTTTAATAATAAATTAAAATAACTCCAAGATATAAAAACTATGTGATTTATTTGGTGAAACGGTAATTGTTGTTAAAATAATTCAATTAATATAAAATAAATACAAACATGAATGAGAAAGAGGCTAGAATTCTTTTTAATTTAGCATATTTTAATCTAAATATAGTAATTATATATATGATCTTGTGGGTAAAATTCAAAGCTTGGGATCCATGAAGCTATTATTCCCATCTCACATTATCCAATTTTTTTTATATAATTAAGTGAAAATTAAAACAATTCCATTCTGGTAACGATGGCTTGCTTAGGTTATTAGAAGGCATAGTTTTCGCATGATGTCCGATTCATTCACATGTTATTGTAACACGGGACATGCATCATGGCATTTTTTTATTATTATATACACAGCTTTTATAAGGAGTTTTTATACTAATATTACAAAACATTAATAACATACCCTCAGTTTATATAAATCTATCATTTTTAGAGTTGAAATATGATAAAATATCGGAGGAAACTAATCGTTAATTGTGCACAGAATATTGAAAAAGGTGCACAGAAATATTTAGTCAAATCATTTACTCTTAAATTCTTTGGACTCTTAATGGTTATAAGATTAACTAATTGTTGCATGAGGATGTTTGCGCACTCTAAATTGTTTTGATTTAATTTTTGAATTATCATAAAAGAGAAACAATATGAAGTAATTTAGATTTGTAAGTATAGATCTAAACTATATAAACAAATTTAAATTGTATATTAATGTATTGTTCCGCTGTTAATTCAACTTTTTTAATATTTTTTACATGATATGTAAAATAATAGAGTTTTTTTTATAAGTAAATTTAGCTATAAGATTTATTATTCTATATAAAAAAAATCAATTAACTTAATTATGTACATTTCTCACCTCCCCCCTTCTTCTCCATCTCCCTCTTCCTCCACCCATTATCCTGTTCTTACAAGCTGTTTCTAATTTAATGTTTTCTTTCTTTATCTTTGTAGGCAGCCTCTGTGATTATGGACAAGTAGCAACGGTGGCTCTATGGTTAGGTCGGCATCGCTTCTCTTAGATAGCAGAGAGGGCAGGTTGAGGTCGTAGCAAGTCACCTCTTAGAGAAGTTGTTGAGAGGATGAAACGATAAAGTCCTGTTTGTTTTAGTTCTCATTGCTGTCTTTCTGATTCTAAGTTACAAATCTTTTATTTTAAAGTGATTTTTTGAGTTTGATCTTTTAAGTGTTTTGGTGTTTTAAGTTTAAGATTGTGGGTTTTTGCTTCTTCTCTGCGTTTTCCCTTTTTATTTAAGGTTTTGGAGATGATAGTAAGTTGTTATTATGTTAGGTTTATTGAGATTACTGGGGATTAGTTGGATTCTTACGTTTCATATTTTTCATGATCTCTACTCCTCTTTGCTTCATAATAATGGATCATTCGAGGAGACCTGAGCGAGATAGATGAAGGGGAAACCCTTTTGCTTCCCCGTCTCCTCTCTGCCTATTGCTCAGTCACATTGAAGTAATAGCACATCTCATCTCTATCTATTTATGCTCTTCTTCTTCTTCCAACTTTTGAAGGGGGTAAAAAATCTGAATCCATGCTTGTCTTCATATTTTCCTTTGGAAAGCTTCACATCAGGCTGCTGTCCAGTCTCACTATCTTAAACTTGAAGTTCTTAGAGAGAGCTAGGAACCAGAGGGAAAAGTGCGTATCGGAAGTAGCAAAAATAAGTTTTCTTTCCCGAAGGACAAGATGAGTAGGATGTCATATGACAAGATAAAATGAGGATGAAGAGTAGATAATTAATCAAATAGGGGATACGTTTCCTGCCCAGCTTCATGAATAGAGCGATAAAAAAAAATAAAGAAAAACACCATCACAACTAAATTTACATGCCTTAAAAACGATGAAGTTAAACTATACACAATGTTCACGAGGGAGATCTTTTGGTGAAACTCGGTCATATTTGCAGCAGCTTTGAATTGTTCTTCTAGAACTCATCCAGGTTCGAACGTTCTTCGGTAAGCTCATACAACTCTATAGTATTTGCTTCTTCAAAGGTTTACTCTTTGTTTCTTGGTTTTGGTACTAGCTCCTTCAATTCATCTGCTAAACTTTCGATTGATTACAAAAATATAACATGATAATGAAGGCATTGAGAAGCAATAAAAGAGAGAAGCTAAAATTTTAAGAACAAATATATAAATATTAATGATGAACCAATATAAAAGGATGCAAATATAATGCATGGAAAAAATGGACCTTGAGAAGGTGAGATGATGCTATAACGACCATTCTGGCTTCCTGGTGGAGATGGGAGAATTGGACACCTCTCAATCTCTAACCTCTTCAGTGCCATGCACTGTGGCAACCAATCTGGCAGAGAAGAAAGCCTCTCGCAATAGGAAATAGAAAGATATTGCAGGCTGCTAGCAGCATTTTTAAGCTCGCTTGGCAGTTCTATCAACTTGGGAAGCTGAACAAAAGTCAGAGACCGAAGCTTTTGAAGGCCTTGGTGGCCCTCTTCTTTTTTCTCCTCATCCTCAATTTGCTCTTTTTTGTAATTAAGACCTACAATATTGAGCAATGATGGAAGGCGCCGGCGCCCTTCCAAGCCATCTTCCTCTCTCTTCTTCAGTTGTGCACTCAACTCAAGACCACTGCAGTTACGAATCTCCAGACTTTCAAGGGAAATGAGGGAATTCAAACTGAACTCTAAAGAAGTGAGACTGGGGCAATCAATCAAACATAATTTTTGAAGAGCAGTCAAGTGCTGCATTCCTCGAACCAGAGTTGAAAGACGATAACAATTGTGGATGGACAATGAACGAAGCGAAGTCAAGCACTCTATCCCTTTCTTTGGCAAGAACTCTTGCTTCGAAGTTATTTCCAAATGTCGTAGGGTAGCAATCTTCCAAGTACCTTTTGGCAACTCCTCAAGCTGCCTGCAAGCATATAGTTTCAACTTCTGCAAATTTTGCAATTTGCATATAGAATGTGGAAGTCTTCTAATGTGATAGTTCTTAGAGAGATCAAGATATCTTAAATGCAGCAAGCTACCAATGGAACTTGGCAAACCATAAAATTTTGATTCAGTTAGAATAAGGATGCGCAGGTACTTGAGATTTGCAAGGAGATTAATTACTGTCTTGTTTTGCTCCGGTAGTAGATGATAGTAAAGAGTTCGCAACTTTGTTGCATTGCATAATAATTCTGAAATTGAATCCTTGACTTTCGATGAAGAGTTTTCAGGCAAACCGAAAACAGAAACATGTCTAACTTTTTTGCTAGGGATCTTAGAATGAGCAGTGATGATTGAGCACTCTGTTCCAGCAACCAGCCGTGCAAGATCATGAATTAGATCATGCATTTTGCAGTGTCTTGCTTCATCATCAGGATATTTAAGTTCATCTTCCAGGAGAGACATTGACAAGAGTTCATTAACATACCTGTCAAAAAAATAAAAATGAAACACCAAAACAGTAAAAGATGAACATACAAAAAAGATTGGATATGATTGCATGGTTTAAGGATGAGTAGGATAATTATTTGTTCATGTTCAAATAGCAACATTTTCTCATTCACTTGATGAGTGTTTATATTAATTAACCCCACTAAATGCATAATTTTTTATGGGGGATTAATATACATATGGTATAATAGTTGATGTAATTGAAAAAATCGTTTATTCATTCTTCCAAACAATCAAAACAAATCCCACTGACTAATCATATAATTTTCTTTGGCTAGAGATTCTTTAACAATAAGTACCTGTGGCCAATCTTCTCAGGTGGACTTCCATCAGATGATTGAAGGAAACCTTGAGCCATCCACATGTGGATTAGTGTTTCCTTATCGATTGAATGATCTTTGGGAAACAAAGAGCAAAACGCAAAGCATTGCTTCAAGTAATGTGGCATTTGATCATACGTCAATCTTAAAACAGGAAGAACATCATCTTCCTTCTGAGCTAGTTCCCATATCTCACTATTCTTCACTAACAGCCATTCATCTTCATCCTTCTGGTATAAGAAGCAACCCAACGTTCTTGCAGCAAGAGGAAGCCCTCCACATTTACTAACTATATCCTTTCCAATTGCTACTAGGTTTTGAGGTCGATCATGAATTCTATCAAATGCCCATGACAGAAACAAATCCAAACACCTATCATATGGAAGACCACTCAAATTATATACATAGCGTGTGTCAGTGGCCATCATTGATGCAATCATCCTACCACGTGTGGTTACTAAAACTTTACTCCCCCTGGCACCATTCATTAACAAATCTTTTAAGCGAAACCATTTTACTCTATCATCATTCCAAACATCATCTAGGACTAGTAAATACTTGCTGGTGCTCATTTGTTTCTTAAGAATGATTTGCAACAAATCAAAATCCAAGTGGCCATAGTTTTTAAGATCCAATTTTTCAGCAATTCTTTGTGAAATCTGTCGCACATTAAAGTCATCAGAGACACACATCCATATTTTACGATATTCAAAATGGGATGCAACTCTATCGTCATTGAAGACCAATTGAGCAAGTGTAGTCTTTCCTAACCCACCCATTCCAACGATAGGAATTATGGTAACATTTTCTTTCTCAGTAGAAGACAGCAACAATTTGATTAGCGCCTCCTTATCATCTTCCCTTCCTATAACCTCTGATGAAACATCTGAGCCAGTTTGTTCCCTTTTTAATGGAACAACTCTGTCAACTCTCGCACTTTGTACCGTAAAGTGGAAGTTAGACCTATCTTTTGCAATTTCAGCTATGATCTCTCTAATTTCCTTTAACTTTTGACCCAATTGAAAACGAAACAAGATAGGGTTTGAAAGCGAACAAAAGTTGCGTACCTTCTTTATCAAGCTCCTATACACCAGGACCTGCCTTTGCACATTGTCAGTCTGGTATTCATCAATCACGTCATCCGCATCGTGGACTGCTTCTTTAAGCTTTCCCAACCAAACCCTAACCTCCTCGTTTTTGTCATGTTCCTCCTCTGCAGCATGAAGTACAGGTTCAATACTAAATAATATGTCTTTAAGCTTTTCAAGCTGTTCTTCAACTCCACATGCTAGTTCAATTCGTTGCTGAATCAGGGGTGCCAACCCATTGGTGATTGTACCAACAATATTGGAGATAGCAGCTTCTGCCATTATCTTCCTCGGTTCAAGAATAAAAAGGGTTTTCTTTATAAAGAAGAGAGCAAACCAATGGAAAGAAGGACGAGGCTCGGTAAAGGGTAGGAAAGATTGTTGGACTGGTAGAATATGATAGCCTTGAGAAAACGACTAGAAGAATGATGAAATGTGATAGCATATCTTACACTGCACTCATCATGTAATCAATAGAATGAAGCCAGGTATAGAATAAGAAGAAGTTGCCCTCAGAAAGAAGAACTAGGAAGTCGGCTTTTGTTGGAAAAGGCAGTGAAATGTGATCCATGCAGGAGCATAGCTTGTGCAATACTCATGGTGCAACCTGTGAAAGTAAAATCCCAGAATTAAAAAAAAAAAAAAAACTCCCAGAATTAAGCACTAGGCTACATCTTCTTCTTAGAACTTCGTTTCTGTCTTCACTTGTGTTTAACATCCTGACATTTTGGCCAGATATGGTAACATCAGGTGTAAGCTTCTTTTTTTTTTTTTGTCATGCCACTATACATTATTAGTGTAGAAAGGAGGAAAAATTGTGCTTTAACACCCACTACGACAATGGAATTGATATGACCGCTGTAACATAAAACAGTCATGGAAGTACTTGGTTGCCTACTAAATGTTTGGTGAAATGCAAATGCCTTGCATCCATCTCCCAGCCTAACAATTCCTTTTACCGATGCAGTCTTTCCCAGATCACAAAAACAGAGGAAAAGGCAATCTTAGGGTAATAATATTAACATTAAATGAAACTTAAATACTCTATAAGTATACGGAAGATGAGAAAAAGTAAGAGCGTTAACCTGAAAGAAAAGAAGAACACCTTGCTTCGCTCATAGGCAGCGGAATCTTAGGGTAATAATATTAACATTAAATGAAACTTTTTGCTTTTCCTTTCTCGCACTCCTCTTGCTTGTAAGTTGCTGGTTTGGTGTTTGATGCCTGCGGAATCTCGAGACTTAATAGAAATACAAAGCCCAACTCACTGTATAAAATTAAAACCTAATCTATAAGTTGAGATATATGGAAGCTGAGCCCAAAAGAGTTGCAGATCCAATTAAATATCAAAGACGAGAACACTTGTCGTCTATTATATAACAACAGTGTTTGTAATAAATTCCAATGAATATAGCTACTAAGTGAACGTTAGGAAGCTGTTGAAATTGTATTTTTTTTAAATGTAATTTTTTTTATATGTTTATATCAAAAATATATTTTAAAAAAAAACTGTTATTATATTCTCAAGCACTATTAACATAATATAATAGATAGATTAATGTTTTTATAATTTAAATTAAATTTATTTAGATTTTATAAAATTTAATGATGAATCCAAAACTATCGCTGAAAAACAAATTAAGAAAAGCACTTTAAACTAGAAAGAACATTGTACAAAACCATTTGAATTCGAAGGAGGAGAAGGAGCCATCATAATTAATAAATGATGTTCCCGTGGAAGATTTTGGGGAGTCATATAGAGATTCTTTCAGGCTAAATTCAGAAACAGATCCATGTCCAGTCGTGGCTGATCGATGAAAAAATAGAAGAATAATTTGGAAACAACTCCATAATTAATCATGATCATGAAGCAGCAGAAGCTCAAAAATCGTAAGACATTAGTGTGGATGTTGCAGAATCCAAGCCCAGTCAGTTTGGGAATGATGATGAGAAGGAGAAGAAACCGAAGGAATTAATGGATGATGATGTTGATGTTCATGAATCTAAGCTATATAAAATATTCCAGTGGATTTTGAAGAAGAAAATAACGAAAGAGAGAGAAAAATTTCAGAGTACCCATCCTAACCAATAAATAATCAAAGAGCATTTTAAAAAATAAAATGTAATTATATTAAACATAAAAAAAATTATAGATGAATTATAATAATCTATTTAAAAATTAAATATATATAAAATAATTTTTTTTTTAAAATCACTATTTAAAAAAACTAAATAAAAAATAAGAGAGAATGGGTATTGATTAAAAAATTATTTAATAAAACATATAAAAAATCATGATTTTTTTTATAAAAAAAAAATTACAAAAAAAAACAATAAAAGAGATCATATGCCTTATCCATTTAGGAAGTCTTTTAATATAATAGGGCGGATAGCATGCTTTTCGCCTCCAATATTTCTTAAAATAATAATAATGACAACGTGTAATTTGGTATTACCCAAATTTTAATTAGTGTGTGGCTGCAAAAATAAAATCTATATTTTTTTACTAGAAATATCTAGAAAAAAAACTAAATATTTTTATAAACTCATAAATAACCTTAAAAACATACAAAAAAAAATTGAAATCAACTCAAAACTAAACAATTTCTTAAGCTTAGATCTAGTTTTTTAGATAATTTTAAAGTGAAGAAAAATATATAAATATATATATATATATATATAATCAAATAATAAGGAATCAATATACTATTGCATAAGGTTTTTTATTTTTAAGAAGAAAAACTACATTTGAAAGGAGATAAGAAGTCATGGTATAAAACCTCGTTGAAAGAAAAACCAGTATTATTTATTTAATAATCAAGATAATAAATAAGGAAATTATAAGTGGCGCGCCTAACATTTTTTTTTTCTTAGGAAGCTAATAACCAATGGTATATATGGAAAAGGCTAATTAAGGTAATTAAAAATTAAAACTGGAATATGTATTAAAATTCCTATTGTAATCATTAAGATTATAAAAACATTAAAACGGATGGGTATTAAATTTTATATTGTAATCATTACATTAATAAAAATTGGAAAATATAGAAATATTTAACTTTATATATTAACAAGGAATTAAAATAGATATTAAAAATTTAAAATCATTATTGTAGCAATTGTGTTAATAAAGATTCAAGAGAAGTAGACTAGGGAAGATAATAATTAACTTTATAAATGTAAAAGTAACTAAAACAGATATTAAAATTACTATTGTAGTCATTAAATTAATAAAAAATTAAGAATACTTTAGTCACATCAAATGTTTTGGCATTCAATTGGTAATTGTTGCAAATATATAATATTAAATTACATAAAATATACACGAGTTTAATCTCAGTTATTATAATAAGGATATGATCCCTGGATTAGCTTATACAAATCAAATTTAATTTTTTTATGATAAAATATTAAGTAGGTTATCAATTTTTAGATGTTCATGAAAATTTATTTTTTCTACAATCTTGATGACGTCCAAATGATAATCCAAAAGGCTATAGCTGTTAAAACCAATCTACATGTTCTTAAAGCATCATATCGCTTAAGAACACCAGACGGAGTTCATGAGCTTAAAATGTTGTCGAAAATCATAAGCCAATCGAAGAATTTCAAGAACCGAATTGGTATAAGCTTCTTCAAGTGGAAAGAAAGAGAGCGGAGCAAAATGAAATGGTCTGCCCTTGACAAATTGCTACGAGAAAAAAGATAGAAAGAGAGCGGAGCAAAATGAAATGGTCTACCTTTGACAAATTGCTACGCGAAAAAAGATAGTTTATTTGTGTGTTTTAAAAATATTTAAAATTAATTTTTTAATTTTTTTCAAATTTTTTTAATAATATGATATTAAAAATAATTTTTAAAAAATAAAAAAAATATTTTAATATATTTTCTAACCAAAAAAAAATACGACTCCGACAACACAACCCTGCAGCGATGGCAAATTGAGATGTCAAGACAAACTACCATAAATCTTAAACGACATTATTGAATATGACATCTTCCATCTACCTTCTTTATCCTCGAGAGAAACAACCCAAGCCTAGTTCATGTGGCTAAATTTCGATGCAACGATCAAAAGCTGCATGTGATTGTGCATGTGTGTGCGTTTGAGAGAGAGACCAGACCGTTGAGGTGTTCTGTTTGGAAGTGAGAACAAAAGGTTTGGAACATTAATTTCGAGATGCCCCACACGCATCTGTGGGCGCGATGTCACCTTAGAAATCTTGGAACAAATTAATACACTATAATTGCCTTAAATTAATAGGTTAATTGCCTTTATACTAAGTTAAATCTACAGTGAGAAAGCAGTCTGAACATTTCTCTGTTTTGTATGGCAATCAAGTGCAAGAATTCTTATGATTCGAGTTAGCCCTCAAAAGTTTAGTACGTAATATTTCAAAGGGGTTTTTCTTTTCGTATCTTCTTGCTTTGATCAATGGAAATCTCTTCGATAAAAAAAAACCGATTGATTACAGGAGATAGGTTCTTCATCTTTTCCATTTCATTTTCTTTTCCTTGTTTACCAAGTTTCCTTTTCGTTAAGGGATGTGTATATATATATATATATATATATATATAGGTTGCTTTCCCCCCCTGCCAAAGTGCCTCAAAGTAGAATGTGGGTGATGCAGTGCAACTAGTACAGGGGTTTGTGTGTCTTCACTTGAAAAAGCTAAGTGCATTATGGGATAAAAAGATGAAAAGGGAGCAAAAACACCCTTTTGTTGAGTTGTTCTAGTCGTAAATGCCAGTGCAATTGTTTTAGCTACAGCTCTGCATGAAAAGACACCCAGTATGTATATATATATAACTACTAATTTATTTTTCTTAATTGAGAGGCAATATATAGGGCACAATATAGATAAGAGTCTCTAAGATTAAGAAAGAAAGAAAGAAAGATGAAGATGATGAAGAGTCACCACTTAATTCTCCATTATTTATTATGAGCAAGCTATCTAATTAATTAATACCCACGTTAATTCAGTAGTGGATTCACAGGAGCTGAACTAGGACGCTAGGATGAGATGGAACAATATTGAAGAGATAAATAATTGTGAAGAAAAGAATCAGAATCTGCATTGTACAAAGCTTTAAAACTTGATTTGGATGATCTCGAGATAAGGTTTGGGTTATTAGTTGGAAGAGTTCACCCTTAAATTTTAAAAAAATAAAATAAAATAATATTATTTTAATAATAAAAAATCAATGAATATATTTAGGGTTAGATTTTGATCGAGGCTTGGATTAAGTTGATAAGTAAGATTTTATCCGTTTAATAATTCAAACTCCTAATTAGCTAAGTCTCAAGTTTATTACGTGTAAAGCCTGACATAGAATTAACTTGGGTTAAGAATCATGTTATGGGTTGGAATAATTTTAATTTTTTTAAATTAAAATAATATTATTTTAATAAAAAAATTAATAAATTGATGATCAAGTTTTGATTGGGTCAAGTCTGAGTTAACCAAGTCAAATAATTTTATTTTTCTTCTATTTTTTTTTAATTTAGACCAATCAAAACCTTAACTATCCAAATATCGAGATTACTTGCAGAGCTAATATGAGTTTTATAATATTGCTTTTATATACCCTTGAAAAAACAAACATAAATTTGATAGTTTTTTGTTTTGAAGACAAAGATAAACTATATTTTACAAGCTATATTACATATTAAACAAATTATATTTATATCTTATATTCATCTTGTACAAGTTGCATTTTGGATAATGTAATACAAGACATTTTTTAATTAAAAATCTATTAAAGTGATATTTTAAAAGTACATAAAAAATATTTTTTTTAAGTAAGAAATAATTTAAAAAATATATTTAAAAAATCTTCAATGACATGGTTTTTTTAAAAATCTAAAAAATACTATTAAAATTCAAAACAGCTCGAAAAGAAAAGAAAAGAAAAACTAATCCAAGTGAAACTACACTCTAAGTTAGCAGATCATCAAATCAATTCGTTATACCAAGCCAAGTTTAAACCCTATCACTAGCAACGAGTTATCTCCTCTCCTAAGCAGGATGTTTTTTGTTCATAGCAAAGTTGAATTTTATATGCAGTGTGTATTCTGACATCATTGTAAGATTCTCGAATGTCAAAATAGTATGCCTTTACTAGGGAAAGAAATATTTTCTTCCTCTTGGGTACCTCTACACTATATATTAATCGCCAGAACCTTCTTCAATGT